TGATTAGATAATTGCATTAATGAGAAATTGAACAGGTGTTCCTAATAATCCTTTAGGTGAGTGTAAGTACACCTGGGTATATGCGTTCTTCAATCCTATATAAAAAAATCAAGCGGACCAATCGTAGTTCTTGTGGTCTGCGTCATCTTGACGTGTAGTTGCGTTTCTGGGGAGGTGCACATCAGGCTATAGCGTAGGTCCACAGCTATGTGGATCCCATGCAGAAGTATAAACCAGTCTTTACAGTCACACATGCTAAATGTAACACATGCATGTATATAAGGTTTAAGTTAAGCCTGATGTTGCCTTGCATATAAAAGAATGATCACAGTCTCTTCCACACAGTGAGGCAAAAGCCTACAGCTTATTAACTAAACGCTGGTATCGGATGGTACTTTGTATCAGCCGATACCCAATCCCCAGGTATCGGTATTGGTATCGGGACAGAAAAAGTGGGATTGGTGCATCCTTACTGATAATGTTTTCGTAATTTCTGCATATATACAGAAATGAACAAACGATCACTGCTATATGGTATTTCTTTCCACTTTGACAGTCTGTGCAGTAGCCAGGTGTCAGCACCGTTGTATGTCGTCAGCCTAATATTAGCATTCCACTGGCACATCTGGCAGGAATTCTGGTGCTCAGTTGGGGAAATCATGTGTGCTGTATCACATGGAGCCGCAGTGACACTGCTCTGTGTGCCACAGACATGTCCAGAGTGCGGCCCTCAGAGTGCAGCCAGCTGTCTGCGCTCTGGTCACCCCAGTTGAATTCCGTGGCTGCAGGATCCGATAGCCAAGGTTTATTTAGTGCCAGAGCACACGGCTGCCCATGCCTCTGCCCCAGCTCCTAAATCGGCCTGCTGCAGCCGACAGACACAGAGGGGAGAGAGAGTATCTCTGATTCGCCCGTGGGCTATCTCTGGCATTGCTTCATCGAGCTTGCCCACCGTACCGGCCAATCGCGCCGCAGCCTCTGGCGTCTCCATGGCAACTCGGCTCCGTAGCTCCAGTAGAGGTGGAGACAGAGGAGAAAGGGAAGATGAGGAAATAAAAGTAAAAGGTTGGGAGGAGGTAGATGGAAAAAGAGATAAGGGAAGAAGAATGAATGCTAAGCCCTCCCTCTTACCGGCACGCTCCCTCAGTTCCGTGTCGCCTCCCATGGAGCCTGAACCAGCAGCGCAGGGTAGCCACCCTTACCTGCCGTGTGTGGATCTGCCACCCTAAGGTGTCCAGGTCCTTGCTGTGGCTCATTGGCAGGTTTGGCTGCAGAAGGGTGGGGGTGGGGGCGTACTGGAAAATACTGGCATTATTTATGTACAGTGTTGTGCTCCCTATGCGGGTGGAGGAATTTGAGGTTGTGAAACAGGGAGCAGTTAAAACATGCTACCTATGGGCACTCCCCCCCTGTCCCCTGGCACTCTGTCAACACCAAGCATGCGGTGAATGAAGCGGGGGGCTGGGTGCATTTCTTTCTTTCTTTGATGGAGGGTCATGAGTCACGAGGAGGTTCTAAGGAGTAAAAGGTGGCTTTACAATGGATGTTCAGCTGCCAAATCCCCCCCCCCCTCCTTTTCTCCTTTAACCTGGTCTCCAGTCTGGCCTTCAGGGTGTATCTGTTTATGATGGAGGTAGCAAGTCACTTTTGGTATGATGACCAAAATGGAGAGTGAGTCTGAGATAGGGATGTCTGGGGTGTGTGTGTGTGCAGATTAGGTTTATATTATTTGATTACCTGATTGTTTTTGCCATTGTGGGGACTATTTTTCGGGTCCCCACAACGGTCTGTGAATGCAGTAAAAAAAAAAAAAGTAAAAATTCCTCTTTTAAAAAAGTCTCGTATTTTGTTTGGTTATTTATGGATAAGGTTAGGGCTGTGTTGGGGTTAAGGGCGTCATGTTGTGATTAGAGTCTTCCCAATAGAAATGGAGTGTCCACACAAAGATATCACAAACCTGTGTGTGTGTGTGTGTATGTCTGCAAATGTTTGCTGCTTATTCTGCATTCTTGCCTGCCCTTGCGTTCCTCTGCAGCGCTCGCTTCAGATGTTCGCTGTTAATTAAATATCTGCTGATGATAATTAGCGAAACACCTGCTGCTCATCTGACCGCGGCGTGCTTTACAGCGTCCTCCAGCATAAGCTGGCCTGAGTCCCCATGGGGGGGGGGCTGCATGTGTACGTGACCTCGCCGCTGGTGACGTCAGCAACCTCCAAGCAGGATGGAACTTTGATGAGTTTTCCACACTGGAATCCAGGCCCTTGATTCTGGATGTTAGAGCAGCCATGATGTGATGTGTAGGACAGGGAGGAGTTTCAGGTCCATTCCAGCTGCTTTTACTCGGACGCTGTCGCCTGATGTCCATGCTTGTCGGGATTTCTTATCAATTGTTAAGGGGGTAAGATCACAGGACCCCAGACAGCAGGTCTCTTGGTGTCCTGGCCTTGAAGTTTGCAGAGACATGGTGGGAAGCTGAACAGGTGCCAGTTCCAGGCCCTGTTGTCCCATGGAGGCCCATCACTTTATGACTGACCAAGGCCAGGTACTTCTCTCAGGTTAGGATGTGGAAGTGGAGTAGTGAGCCTGCTGATGTCATAGCCAGTGTTCCAGCTCACAGTTTCATTTTATTATCACAAGCATCCTGCAAAGCATCAGGTCAGATTACAGCCAAAATTCTATAATATTCTGTGTATGCTTAAGTATATTTACATTGTTACATAACAGGGCAGTTTTTATAGAATGTTACCCATTGTTGGGTAAACTGTATTCTGTACATAATTAAATCCTTCACGTTTCTGTAGTGATATACTGTATTTCCACTGACCTGCAGGAAGATCAAGAAAACACTGAGCGTTCTGAAACATGACCTTTATTAAGGTGTGAAATCAAATAAAGTTTAAAAAAAACTGTGTTTGTGTACCCGTAACAGCTTCCTACTTGGGTATGAAATTATATCGCTTCTGTTTTCGTTACCTCTGTGTTACTGCCGTTTTAAAATGGTGCTGATTAGGTTCCTAGTTTTACTGGGTTGGGATACAATGTAAAGAAATGTGTGGCTTTATTTGATGCTTTTATTTCATTGTTTGAATTAATCCGTAGTGATTGAATTGGTTTTGAAGTGGAGTGAAAGTCTGGGCTGGTCCAGAGTATGTGTATGTGTAGTTCGCCCTGTACCTGTCTCTGCTTTTAGGAATGCAGGCTTGTTGAATCCGCCGTGGCCTTGCTAAGGGATCTGCTCGCTCGTCAGAGAACATGTTTGAGGTCAAGGTGTGCCATGTTTGGCCTGTGGACTGCAGCCTTCCGAGCAGCAGTGTGTGTGTTTGTCGGACGCCTGTTTTCAGTGTCAGATGGAGCAGCAGTCTGTTCCTGGCACATTACTGTCCCCTGGCATCATGAACTGGCTGTAATAAATGTGTCTCACCCCCCTAATCAGCGTCACTGAGGTGTCTTCCACTCAGGCGGGAGGGGGGTGGCTTGGTTTGGCGGGGGGGTCACTTCTCACACCGCACTGGCGACCAAGGAACAGCAATCCACTAATTTCCCTGCCCGCCCCCGTCTTCACTGAGAAGGGACAGGGAGCAGAGGCCCAACTGGTGGCCTCTGGCCGGTCGACGGGAAGATCCGCACGCTGTTCGCATCAGGAGAGGCCTCTCTGCCCTCTGTAGGCAGCCCCGGGGACATGGAGGAGCAGAATGTCAGGGACCTGCTGCCGTCTGCTTCAGAGGAAGCAGATTTAACATCTCCACCGTGCCGCCTTACTGGCACAGGCGACGAAACAGATGGAATACAGAAACAGTTTTAGACTCACGTTTTGCATGGGATTTCTCTCTCTCCATCTCTCCCTTTTTCTTTCCATCTCCTTCTCGCAGTCTGTCCGTCTCTCACTTTCCATCTCCTGCTCATTTCTCACTCTGTCTGTCTGTCGCTGTCTGTCTCATTCTCGTCTTCGTTCCTGCAGAGTGCCCTGCCACTGCCCCAGGGGTACAAAGTCCAAAGCCTGAATTTGGGCTCTGAATAAACTAGACTTCCCCTGGCCCCCCAGCTATACGCCTGGAGGTCTGCCATAGCGAGCTGCAGTGAAGTGCGCAGGTATAACGGCACATGCACTGCAGCTGGTACTGGCTGCTGATGACTGCTGCTCCTGCCTGTTGCATAACCACTAGGGATTTTCTGTGGGGGGGGGGAGCTGTCATGTAGGAAGAAAGGGGGTGGGAGAGAAGGCTTAGGGGGCATGGAATGAGGAGCTTTGGGGGGGGGGGGTGCTTTTTGGCTGTGCAGCATTGATCCATTATCCATATTCTGCTCCCTGTCCTTGTGACAGGAGAAGCCACATAAACAGGTTCTGCAGGGGGGTGGGGGGACGTATCATTGTGTTGTCACCTTCAGCCAGCGTCGCAAAAACTTGAGGGTATTCACTTCCATATGGCCCCCACCTCCAACATTTTAACAAGTCAGTGTCGCTTACAGACTGGATCAGCAGGCCTTTCTCTGCCAGGATCAGCAAGGGCCAGTGGCACAAACAATACCCCCACACACTTTTTTTCTGTTTTTAATTACAGCAAAAGCATTTGTCTCTGGACAGGCACTGTCATGAGCGAATTGCACAGCATTACCGTAGCACGCGGTGGGGGGTGCTATAGTCTCCCAAGTCAGTGCTGCTTCACTGATGCTTCAGTGCCTATATTGCATAATGTGGCTACTACCCACAAACACGTGGGATCTTAAGAAGCAATGTCACCGATATCAGCTTCACTACAGATTAGCAGAGCTCAGCTAGTTATTGGTATCAGTTATCCATCCATCTTCTGTAACCACTTGTCCTGTTTAGGCTTGCAGAGGTCCAGAGCCTATGGGCATAAGGCAGAGAACAACCCAGGATGGGGAGCCAACCTATCACAGGGCCCACTCACATCTCCCGGCATTGTTAACTACAATTAACTTCAAATTAATATTACAACAATGTTCAGTTCTGTAACAATAGTCTTCACCCTCACCCCTCCTTTCTTGAGTAAAGATCGTTTGACTCTACAGTTGTCTGCCATTCACTCTGCACTTCAATACTGTAACTGCTGACCGAGCTGCGCAAAACGTACTCACCACTCCGAACTCAGCTGGCTATAATATGTAAATCAGAGAAAATAATTTTTATAAAGACCTGGGAAGGAATGGTGACGATTTACTACAAAAAGTATATGAAAGAATTAGGATTGCCAATAAACACTGAAGCGTACATCCAATCTCAGGTACTGAAGAAAACTCTAGAGAGCGTTTCGTTTGACCAGAGACGTAATCTCGTCGTTGATAATGATGCAGTTAAGACATCACAGAACCACGCGACAGACCGCCCTCATTCACATATAGCTAAAGAAATGAATAATAATAATATTAAACCATAAATAAATTATTTTTATGAAAGTGTTATCATAATGTGTAGCATTCCTTGGCATCAATAATAAAGAAGTAAATCTCTAACGGGTGCAGCATTTTATTTTGTCTTCATAGGAAGCATTCGGGAACATCCTGACCACCGAATTATGAGCACCGTGAAAACTACAAAAAATGAATGAATAAATAAAATAAATATACACATATATTGCTCAAAGTTTCACCAAAAGAAATGGTTGTGAAACATAATTGCAACATCGAAATCAAACTGCTTAATATAGTTAATACACAATTAACACAATATATCACACTAAAGTTTGCATCCAAACGTTCAAGTAGCAAAACTCGCGTACAAAAAAAACGGGCTTCATATTTAAACTATAAAGGAATGCGCGAATGTCTTTAAGTAGAAACTTGAACATTTGATGCTTTTGGCACAAACATTTGATATTACATTCATTACATCACATACCTCGCTCCGCTTGCCAAAGGGTGCAAAAGCAACAAAAAAAAACTGCAAGGATTAAAACTTTGCTCACACTAACATGGAGCGCTGCTAGCTTGTTGTAAAACACAGAGACCGCTCTGCAGTCGGACACAAAGGAAAAAAAAAAAAACAACTACCTGACTACGCAGGTTCCGAGGCACGTAAATTACGTCAACGTCTGTATCACAGAGGGAATTAAAGAAATAGCGGTCATTTACATAATGTGTTAACACATGAAAATGTGAATGCGTCTGTCATTCTGAGAAGAGCCGCAGCCACGTGGCCAAAGAGCCGCAGGTTGCCGACCCCTGGGTTATCTGTATCTGCCAAAATTTCCACTTTGGTGCAACACTAGAAGCGGGCTCTCTCTTGGCCCCTGACTCACATTAAAAGGCATCTTATATGTCACACGTCCTTTTCCCATTCCTGTTGTGAATGTCATGTGACTTTCCCATTTGGGTGCAGGTTGGTCAGGTCATAGAGGCTACAAGCTTGGGCATTCGCTGAGTTTGTATGACAAGAGGTAAAGTAGGGTTGTCTGTGGATTGAAGGACAATAATGGGCTGTTTATTAGGTGCACCTGCCTGCTAATATAACCAGCCTGATAACACATCATGTGGCTGCAACTTAATATATTCACCATTACTGACAAGGTCAAGAGGTTAGCTTGTATACCTTTTGATTAAGCATTAGCACAGCTAAGACATGTGATCGATCCTGAGTGATTCTGAACGTGATGTGATTTGTTGGTGCCAAACATGGTAGTTCCAGCTTTTCAGAAACGGCAGCTCACCTTGATCTAGATTTTACAGCAGATAACATCGGATTAGGCAGTGGTGTGAGAGGTCAGAGGAGAATGGCCAGGCTCATTAAAGCTAACAGGAAGTCCACAAGTGCATAATAACTGCTCAGTGAAACAGTCGTGTGTAGCAAGACCTCTCTGAACGTGTCAATGATTGAGGTGGATCTGGAGACAAAACTGCATGCTGCAATGTAGGGATACGTAATAAAGTGGCCAGCTAGTGTAGTTGAATTTTATTTTAAAGAGGATTTGTATTGAAATTGTTGTATTCCATACTGGTCACTTTCTTGTTTTTTCTCATAGCTGCCTGCCAGCTGCAAAGGATCATGGGAGGGACACAAGTGTCCTTCCAATACTTACTTGTCAGGTAAAAACTTGACATGAGTCATGTTCCATTTTACGCACATTTACCAGGCTCATCCCTGGGAGGTGCTAGCAGGCAGACAGGATACCGGTAAATTATGACTTCTGTGTCCTCAGCCACCGTTGACGAATGGCTCTTTCGTTCTTGAATGAGCAGCTACACTGTCAGAAGTGTGTGTCTGTCTTCCTGGTTCCACTTCCCCTTGAAGATGTGGTCGACTTGTCAACCGTAATGTTTTTCCGTTTAGTGTTAAGTCTGCCCTGTGCCTCGCATGCAAATTTGACTGTATGTTGAAAAGTCCTACAAGTGATGTTTGGTTGCACACCTAGGAAAAATAATGCTGGTTGCTGGTTGGAGCTTCATTTTTGTTATTTACTGGGATGGTTTCTGGACAGAGGGCTTGCATCGATTTTCCTGTTCTGTGTGGGCTGTTCAGCCATGTGTACCATAAGCTGTCCATTTCTCCTGCCCTTCAAATCATCCTTGGCTTTCAGGAAACATCTGTTGTGCGTCAGTGCATTTTGATGCAGCTCTGCTGTTTTGTGTTGGGGGATGGTAGACCATACAGTAGGCCTGACAGGAAACAATGAGGATGCAACCTAATGGACATTAGCACAATACAGGGCCACCATAGCAACTTAGTTCTTGGAGATCAACGCTGTATGGGGATATACATGCCGAGTAAGACGCCTGGATTAAAGCTTCAGCCAGCTCTGTTCTTTAATTATATCTGAATGCACGCTAGCGGGGTATTGGGTGTACAGTGATCCCCCACTATATCGCGGTTCAGCTATCGCACCCCCACTATTTCGCGGATTTTTCCCCGACCCGTCACAGTTCTCTGCGTATCATGTACCTTGCTTGTTGTCCGATTGTTTTCCTTTTGTTTTAAGCCCTACGATGGCTCCCAAGCGTCCTGCATCTTCTAAGCCTTCTGGTAGTAGTGAGCCTAAGCGCCAGCGCCATTCAGGAGAAGGTAAAACTCCTGGTTATGCTTCGGGAAGGAAAGGGTTACGCCGAAGTAGCTTGCCATTATTAAAATGTTCTTATTTTTACATATTCCATTACGTATACAGAGAGAGAGAGATGTGTACACACACACACACACATACACACATATGTATAATATACATTACTTATTATTTTTATGTTACTCATATCCTTAGACCAACATCCACTTATCATATGTGTTGTTTTAATAAGTTTACATGTGTTTAAAGTGTGTGGGAGGGGTAAAAATCTTTATTTATATGGTCTTTCTATATCACGGATTTTCATCTATCGTTAATGGGTCTGGAACGCATCTTCCGCGATAGGCGGGGGTTCACTGTATGTGTGTGCGAGTGTCAGGCAGTGCTCAGTCACTGCAGTTGGATGCCTATCCTGGCTGGGCTTGGAGAGGTGCTGTTCCCTCGCATTGATGCTGGCCCCACGAGCCCACACTGTTCAGCCAGCCCACTTAAGGCCTGTGGCTGGACTTCCCCTGCGGTCAGGGCGGCCTGTCAGGTTCTGCTTCTTCTGCAAACAGTCCTCTCTTTTTTGAGTTTCCAAGGGTCTGGGTTTTGCAGTGTTTCCAGACCGTTTGAGTCAGTTAGTGTGGGGTCACTGGAGTAGCTGAAAGGTTTATCAAATTGTTAAAAATCATTTCTGCTGAGTCATTACTTGCTCTGTGATGACGTGCCATCCTATCCCCTGCCTTGTGCCCAGTGCTGCATGGAATAAGCTCCAGGTTGCCTGTATCCCGGTAATAGATAAGTAGATGGAAGATGGATGGATGGATGGATGGATGTAACATTACTCACCTGCACGCATGCGGTTTTACCTTGTTTTTATCAGAAATTAGTATTGAAAATGAGCACCAGTATACCTTAGGAGCCATTTAAATTGAGGTAATTGTCATGCAGCTAGAATGTGTATGCAATTGTCCCTGGGGAAACACTTTTAAGCAAACATGTAATTTTCTGTTGTCATTAGCCTTTTCTTTTTCCGTAATTCCCAGAGAGGTGATGATGTCATGTCATGCCCTGACCCGGAATCACTCTTCTTAAAAACTCTCAAGTGCTGCACGATGAAAAGTTGTTTCATTAAAAGCCAAGTCAAATACCCAGTAGCTGTGGCAGCATGTTGGTGTTTTAAAACAGCAGCAGTACTGATCCGAACCAGATTGTGTTTGTGCTTCTAGCTGGGTGCTCATGCTGTTAGCTCCTCCAATGGCGTGATCCCTGACTCCTGCAATTCCTCGCGGTACACCTCCCCCATCTCCATGCACATCTCCAGATGTCTATGTGCGCACGGGTCATGTGGGGGCCTCCACCTCCCCTCCACCGCCAGGAGAGCTTACGCTTGCGTATAAACGAGGGGCACGCACAGTTGCCATGGCAATATGCACACGGGTGGCACGCCCTGTGCGAGGCCTGCAGCCGCCTGGCAGCCTCTCTGAGGACGCCTCTGTTTTTATAAACACTATTCCTGTACTCCAAACAAATTGCAGCTAAAAAAACTGTAAACACCGTCATCCGACACTCACCACTGTAGTCGTGAGCCCTGTTTGCTTCGCCTAGAACAGAGGGACTTGTTTTGGTTGGTCTGAGCCATAAGTTTATCTTCTTGCCCTGTAAGTATTTCAGCCCTCAGAGGAGCGTGGGCATCCTGGCACTGAGTAAGATGCAGTCCCTCTGTGCTTCTGGGTGACTCCACCCCCAGCTCCTCCCACTCCCTGTCACAATAAAGACTGTTCATTTGCCAGGCTGTATCTATTTTCCTTTTTTTCACCCTTTTCTCACTAGTTCCTGCTAATTGTCCCCATTTATATACCTAAGTCTACTTCCCTTCCTGTCAGGAAACAGACGGCAGAGTCTGATTCCTGACCATGTTACAGCTGCCTGTAATGGCCTCCTGCTGTGATTGGATTGGCAATGTGGTAATCAGAAACTTCCTGGCACCTCATAGGTCAATGCAGAATATATGTGGCCATGCATGTATGTGTTTGCAATTAGTAAAGATTCCTTTTCTCTTCCAAAGGGTTCTGATGACCTTGGGTTCAGACTCTAGCTTCAGCCGTCACTAGATTCGCTTTTCACAGGAAGGGAGGGGAGTTGATCACACTTTGGCTGCGGTGGTCCCCGAAGCTGCATAGGCCGGACAGTGTAAAGGTGTGCATGCAAGGGGCATCTTATGCAAAATGTTTAATGCTGAAGGGGAGGGAGCTTCAGGAGTCAGCAGGTTGTTGTCTTAGCCAGGGGCAGATTAACTTTTCTGGGAGCCCTGGGCTGACAGGGCAAATGAACTTTTTGTGTTGGAGCCAAAAGAGAAACGAGAGAGAATTAAAAATGATACAACATCAACAGTCCAATAACCAGTGTGCGATGCTGGTGGTAAAACTTACTGATTGGAGGCGAGGGGAGGGGGTGCGGGGGAGGGTGTCACAGCCAGATTTAAAGGTACCATAGAATGCATTTTTTCGGTATTTTAAATTGTTCTCTGTTGTCTACATAGATGGTATGGTAACTTAGTTTGGTCAAAAAATTCCCAAAAGCAGTTTTATAGACCCATTTACAACCCTGTTATTTGGCCCTAGAATGAAATAGGCAGTTTTTCCTTTTTTGGCTGGTTTTCAGTGAGACAATGCAGTGGCTCACACAAAATCATCATTGGTACAGGCGTGTGTCTTATAACGACGTATCAGTCAATGACGGACCACATGTATGTGTAACAGTGGTCTCATAAGATTATAACAGATCCAAAAAATTCCTATCGCCAAGGGCCGTTGTAGCACAATGCACTACTGATGTATTTGTGGTGATAGTGCTGTGAATAAACTTGCTGCATTGCCAGTCATGTACAATCATGTACAGTACATAGGACTTGATAATGATAAACAACAATGTTACTGGTTTATGTATTTACTATACTGTACTTTTTATTATTATTTTTGAATGCACTCTATCTACTTTGCCACATGTAACTGTAATATTCCCACTTTAGTCTAGGCACAGTGTTGGCATAGTCATAACTTGTGTTTTTAGCATTGTAACAAGAACACTGTAATTATTTTGCATCAGTCAACAAATGGTTTTATGATGCTAGCATCGTCACGCAATTTTTATCAAGAACTCCAAAGAGCAAGTTGAGAAATTCATAAATGTGTTGTTTGTAATGAATTTGGACTTCAGCTTAAAAATTTTTTGATAGTATCGATTAGATATTTGATTAGCTAACCAAAAGCAGGCTGCAGACAGTGCAGAAGCCTCTTGTTGATGTCAGTACCACAGACTTCATACTGTTGTTTGCTACTCTCCTGCTAACCTGAGGTATGTTTCCCAAAGGCATAGCTGATAACAATGTTAGCAACTTAGTTGTGATAACATACTGTAGTTGGAACCATCCAATTGAACAGTTCCAAATATGTAGGTTGCTAACGGGGGCTTTTGGGAATAGAACTGAATAGGACTTACCTTCTTAGCCTACTATTAATTAATAACCTTACATGAATGGTTGCCAGTATATATATACTGTATATTTTTCCTCGCCAGGTGCACTTGTGGAAACTGCCCCTCCAGTGAGAAAATATGTGTTGCCGGTTCTGCAGGTCCATTGGGCTTTAGAGTGGGCTGGTGTATGTTACATTTGGGGGCGTAGTTAAGACTGGCTAGGATTTTTGAATCAGCTGGTTTTACCACCTTCTTTTACATATGTGGGATTTGTATTAGGAAAAAATATGTTTGAGATTCACAGTATGTCAGTTGCATGTACCAAACTCTCCTTATTCAGCTATGCTGAGGCAAAGTCAGATTTTCATTCTGATAAGTTTAATCATTCCATTCAGTAGCATAATTGCCTTGAAATCTATCACTCCATCATTCAGATCATAAACACTTCTCTTTTCTCTTTACATTAATCCTTCTCTGTCTTCATCAGCCTTCCTGATTATTTAACCGTTAATACGATCTGACATGTTTTCCCTTATGAAATGTTATAAACTGAATTGTTATTTCAAGAAGCGTTCATATGTTTTTTTTTATGTGCATTACTGGCTGTAAATATCAGATCGTGTCTCACGGTGTTCAGCTTTAACTCCACGAAGGGTGCGTGCCTCAGAGTTCGCACCCTTCAGCACTCGATAGTACCCAGCGTTCCATTAT